AAATATCTGTAGACTGCCTAAAAACTTCCAAGGCAGTCTACAGATATTTCTCACCTTTTTTCCTGGCTTCTCGAGGGTTCCTAAGAGGTATGTTTTGTCAATCATTCGGAACTCTCCGAGGGTTCTTATAGGAAAAGCTGATCTAGGAACGCGTTTTTCATCATTTTAAATGGTAACGACCAAGAACGCGTTCCGAGAACGTGAAAGCCGTTTTTTTAAGAAAAGAAAACGTTCCTTAAGGATGAGAACGTGTTCTTGACCGTTCCATTTCGGAACGGATTCTACTTTCATAAGCAAACGTTTTTTTTCTTAAAAAAAGTTTTCTACGAAATTGGAACGCGTTCTTTGCCGTCCTTTTTGATAAATATTTTTCACTGGGAAGTTAATGCGTGAAGTTTTGGATTATTTAATTGTTTCATTATCTGAATACTACAAGCTAATTGAAGAAAAACTTCAACATTTCTGTAATATCTTTCCTGGTCGTGTAAATCAATTAACTCTTGAAAATGCTAAGAAAATTTGTGAAATTGTACCCAGTATTTCGAGTCCTGAACTCTTATACTCAGAATTACAGCTGTTGAAAAATGATATTGATAGTTACACACTAAAATAAAATGTGTCGTATATATGTGTCGCACAAGAATGTGTCGCAGACTCTATTACAAAAATGTGTCGTACAAAAATGTGTCGCATTATAGATGTGTCGTAGCCTATATGTCAATCGTTCATTCACCGATTTGTTTCGCGAGTGCAGCTGCATATAACCGGGCCTATTGGACGTACTTGACTTATACATTTTCGTATGTCTTTTTTTTCTAGATTATTTCTCGACCATTTATTATTCGAGAACATGTCGAGAGGTCACTAGATGATCGAGAATGGACTGCCTCGAAGTAGTCTGATCGAGATCAAATGGTCTCGAGGCAGCTAGATCTTACGATCTACCGTCTCGAACTCCAAGAATAGGTGCTACTGTTTGAAACTAACTAAAAAAATAGTAACTATTCGAATTTTCAAAAAAAAAATAATTCTCGTGCCGAAAAATGGATTCGAACCACGCGGTAAAAATGTGTCGCATGTGTCGCACAAGAATGTGTCGTACGTCCGCTGGAAGAAATGTGTCGCAACGAGCTCCTCGTGTCGCATATTAATGTGTCGTACATTGTGTCGCAAAGTGCGACACATGCGACACATTTTATCTTAGTGTGTATACTGAAATGACCGAACTTATCAATAAAATTAAAATAATTCGACATGGATATCCAAATGCTACACGTATTTATCAATTTCTTCTTGCATTACCAATAACTGTTGCGACAAATGAACGTTGTTTTTCGAAATTAAAATTGATTAAAAACAAGTTACGGTCTACATTAATGCCTGACAAAATGGAATGGTTGATAATTTCTTCAGCAGAAAGAGATTTATTAGAAAATGCTGATTTATCAAGTTTTGCTGAAGAATGGTCCCATTTAAAGAATAGAAGAGTGAAACTTGTGTGAAATTTGTAGTTTTTTTACGCTAATTCGAATGCATTACGAACTGAACTTGTCTTTATTGGTTTATTTTTGAAAAAAAAATGCTCGAACAGACATTCATATAATAAACTTATGAAATATCTTAAGAAAATAAAGTTATATAGTTTACGTATGATTTTCTAAAAAACGCCCCCCCCCCCAATCTTTGGATGCTCGGGACACCCCTGGAATGGCCCCATTCCCTTCTATGAATAGTCCAGTCTATCTAGTCTATGATCAGATATCGATTAGTCATCAAATTCATATCGAGATGCACTATCTATTTTTTTTTAATGAAGACTCAAAAGATATAAATACTATATCAATATGATAAAATAACTCTTTTCTTGTTTTAAACTGCACCTTTATTTTTTCAATAAAATTTTTACCGCGCAGTAGAGGATGTTAAAGTATAATGTTGACTCAGCATAAATATTATGTAAGTATGCAACTTCACTTGTCGCAAAAAAGAATTTCTTAGTTTGTGTCTATACATGAAAGATTTTAGTTGATCAGAAATAATTCGTAGTACAAGCAGTCTATACTAAAGTACTAGAGAAATTCAGATAGTTAATAGAATCAAGTGACATTTGCAATTTTCTTGTTTGTAAAGATACTTTGGTTCGATATAACTGATCTGGTTGCATTAACCGTTAATCAAGTACTATTCCTATAATTTGGACAAATACATTAATTGAATGGCATATATAAACCTAGCTCGAGGAAACACATTTCAAATATAAAATACAAGTGGTCGACATTCTGCGTGAGTATAAAATATATCCTTAGGAAAAGATCACAAGTTCAAACTTCTAACTTACATTATTACTCAATGAGATGTGAATATGGTAATGATTGATACTGACGGATGAAGATGTCATTATCTTTTTTAAATATCAACTGTTATTTATAACTGAGTTGTGTGATTGTTTTCATCCATGGTATTCGTAGAATATATACGGTTATACCTAGAAAAAAAGAATCATCTATCCACAGCCGACTACTCGGACAATAATAATGGCGTCTGCACAAACGCTACATTGTCAATAGAAGACAGCAACTCACGGTATGTACACACGACGAAAAATAACGTCGAATTAAGCAATTTGATTGGTGTGAAGTTTCGCGGAGAGTTAACTCATCTGTTGAAGTTGAGGTAAATTGATATCCAGTTCACCAGTCAAATCATAGTTCAATTGATCATAGCAGAACAACAAAAAGTATATGTATAATAGACAAAAATAAGGTAGTTAGAATGTAATGATTATGTTAAAATTAAATACTAGATGTATTAGATTGTTTAAATATCATCACCTTCTAAATTATCTCTATATAAACACTCAAAGTCGATTTTATTCCTCGAAATTTCACTGTATTTTTATATTTTCACTAGAGTAGAGAGGTTACGTTCGTGTCTGTTTAATGAATTAATTCTTACAGTGTAAACAATTAGTTCATCGTCTTCATTATCACATACTAAAGAAAATGATAATTTTATTTTGATCAGAATAGAAAAACAAATAAAAGAAATAATTCTATGAATTATACTGTCAAAGAGAAACTAACGTAAGTTGCATGCGTGAAAAATAGAAACTCACATTTTGGATACACTATTTTCTAATTCAATTGGAATATTACTGTTATTTAGCGATTTTTCTTATACTCATGACATATATTATAGTTTGTATTTTTAAAATTGAAGTTTGAAGTATAGTTTAGGAATAATAAAACTAGCGCATCAATCCTATTTCGATTGAAGCTAATAATCATATTACGTTCAACAATAATCTCTAACAGATGCGTAATATAATAAGAATAGGAATTGTATTGAGGAGCTCATAATAATATATTCTTCTATTTTCATTGCTATTAAAATACATATCATTCGATAACATACACTAAAATAGAAATTCTACAAACAAAATAGGATACAAAGAAAAATAAAGCTTATTTAGTGTGTGGGTGTGTGTTTCCCTTTCATTGTTCACATTCACACCCTTGAACAACTAATTCATTCATACTAACAACTTACATATTTTTATGTTCAACATTATCGAATCAAATTTAATGTTTATTTACTCTATTTAAATTGACCAAGAAATATCACAAAGAATTATTCTATTCATATTGATATATAAGAAAAAGTTTCAATTACATATCGTGGAAGTCTTTAATACCAGTTAATTATCCATTTGTACCTGTACATCGTATTGCTGTTCAACTTTATATTTCAAAGATTGGCGATATTAAAGATATTTGTTCGGATAAAATTTGTATTAATGGTCGATGTATTAAACATTCAAATAATCAAGAAGGTATGAGTTTTTGTCATTGTCATCAAGGATGGTTTGGAAAATCTTGTACAAGACAATATAATTGCATGTGTTCGTCTAATTCATTATGTATTAGTGTTTCAGCAGATAATCGATCTATAGGTGTCTGTCCTCTCAATAAATAGAATTTACTTTGTTTACTTTCAAATAATGTATGTCAATCAAATGAAAATAGTACATTTTATAATAGTGGTCAATGTGTTCCTGTTCATGCATATTTAGTATCAAATAAAGGATTCATTTGTATTTGTTCAAAAGGTGATAGTAGTGAATAATGTGAATTAGTAGATAATAAAATTATATTATTATTTCATACAGATATAACTATACTACATTCAATAATAGTTCATTGCGTTCGAATAATTGATAATGCATCATCAGAAATTGATTCGATATTTAAATTAGTATTCCAATTAATCAAAATCCAGTTATAATTCAATGGTCACATTCATTTCATATAGCTTTTGTTGAACTTTTAAAATAATAATTATTATTTAATTACTGTTCAAAAGACATACAATCGATCATCAATCATTAAAAAACAGTCACACCATTAGATCGTTGTGAACATTTAAGTGAAATATTAAATGAAACCATTGTCAAATTTCATATTCTTCATCGTATTAAATACTATCATCTTCCATGTCCAAGACAATCACCATTATTAGCTTGCTTTTATGATAATACTCATTTTTGTTCATGTTATAATTTCGATTATCAATGTTTAGCAAATTTTTTTGAATTTAATTCTTCAATTAAACATGATTGTTTTGGTCAAAGTAATTGTGAAAATGGTGCAAAATGTTTACAAGATAAAGCACCATGTCCACAAGCATCAATATGTGTTGATCCAAAATGTTTTCATGGAGCAAAATTTCAATTTAGTTCAGCCTTCTTTGGTCTTTCACTTGATGCTATTTTAGGCTATCATGTTCAACCACATATTAATATAAAATATCAACTGTTTATTGTAAAAACCAATGTATTATTAACGACAATTTTGATTATAGTAGGTCTTATCAATGGTGTTGGGGGTGTGTGTGTGTGAATGAAGAGAACACCCACACTAAAAACATGAAACTATCACTGAAACACATAATAATG